CTCCTAGGGCAGAGAAGCTCAGCCAGTCCCAGCACCTGGAAGGAAGCTCCCTGCCTCCATTCCAGGCTCCCAGGGCAGAGAAGGTGAGCCGGTCCCAGCACCCAGAAGGAAGCTCCCCGCCTCCATCCCAGACTCCTAGGGCAGAGAAGCTAAGCCGGTCCCAGAACCCAGAAGGAAGCTCCTCTGCTCAGTGGACCCCTTTTCTTCTGCTGATACTCCTGTCTTTATAGCTCCTCTCGCTGCCATCTTCGCTGAGCTCGAAGAGCTTCCAGGAAATGAAAAGCACTTCTTCACAATTGATTGCTGCCCACACCCCTGTAATCCGAATATGATAAAGTCCTGGTAATCCAGTAATTTTTAATCTAAAACTGAGATTATTCTTTTTTGTTTTTGGTACCAGGGATTGAACTCAAAAGACCTTGCACTTGTGAGACAGGTGCTAAGTCCCTGGCTAAGATTATTCTTTAAATATTGGTCTAATGCAAATCTTTACCTGTCTCATTCTTAGAGCTTCTCGCAGATATCAGGTAAACAGAACTGTTCGGTATTTTGAAATGGAAATATTATAGTCCCACATTGCGCCCCACCACCAATTTTTTTCTAAAAATCTCATTAAAAATATGTATAGAGCTAGGTGTGGTGGCACACTTCTATAATTCCAGCACTCAGAAGGCTAAAGCAGGAGGATGGCTCTTCAGGCCTGCTTGGGCTACAAAGTGAGTCAAGGCCAACCTAAACTAAGTAGCCAAAGCCTCTGTCAAATAAATAGACAAACAGATAAGTCACCGATCCAGTCAGATACTGAACTTGAGTTCCGAACGGTCAACACTGAAAAGTGAGCAGACCATCTTTGGCTTCCTGTGTAAGGCTACGGTTTTAACATTTTCTCCTACAACCTATTCCTTTGGACAGTGGCTCAGGTCCCTCCATTCCTCTGTTGATGAAATTGAGTTTGTTCTTTCTTTGTTTCTTTATTTCTGTTGGTTTTTTCTTTTTCTGTTTTTCTGCAGCTAAAAATGTTATAGTGAGCATCCTAGTATATATGTTTGCCTACTGGCCAGAGAATATCTCAGCATAGTTTCCTAGAGTTTGGCTAAAGTGAAAGATTATGTACTTTTAACATTTTGATGTATGTTATCAGAAAACCCTCTGAAAAATGAGAGCAAATTTATAAGCCTGCTACCAATATATGAGGGTTCATGTTTCCTACATTTTCAACAACATAGTCTCTTGATCTGTTGATCTGGAGAGCATGAGCTATAGGTAATAAATCTCAAGGTTATCTTACATTATCTTTCATTTATCCCTTCTACAAATAGCCTTCAAATATAGGTGCTTTCAATATTTTCTTTTTACTGCTTCCAAACCTATTCTGATATGGAATGTGCTATCAAAACAAGACAGTCTCTTCTCTGTTATCACAGGCATGAGCCATCTTTTTAGAAAATTGCCTTATCATTCACTGCCAAATATTTCTCTTCTTGAATATTTTTATATAACCTGTCAAGTCAGAATTTTCACTTGAGATATTTGCTATTTCAAGTTGGAGTTCATGGGGCAGCTATTGAACCTCTCATGCCCTTTGCTAAAATTTATATCATGTGATCAGGTTTTTTTATTCTGGTGCTGAGAATTGAACTGAGCGTCTGGTGCATGTGAGCAGGTGCTAGTGCCCAGCCATGCATCTGATCACTTTTGAAATATCCGTTGAGTTTTACTGACCAGCTAGCACTAATTATAATGGTGATTGAAGGAGTCATATTAAAGTATTAATACAAACAGACATTAATGAAATGTGAGTTATATTTACTTGTCTATTGCTTACTTGCAGGTGGATTCACCAATGAACTTGAAGCATCCCCATGACTTAGTTATACTAATGAGACAAGAAACAACAGTGAACTATCTCAAAGAACTGGAGGTGAGGCAAGTGGGCATATGTATGATTTGCAGCCGAAACTTGCAACTCAGTGGAGCTATTGCTATGTTCCAAGAAAACCTAAAACATGTTATTTCTTAAGCCTGATTCTTCTGACCTCTGCAGGAATACACTACCTTTAGATCATGTTTTGTTTTTATAAACCAGCTTATCAAAGTGATTTTTAAGGAGTAGTGAGACTAACCTAGTGTGGGTGTGTGCCTGACTCTTCGTTCATTTATCCTTAAACAGAATTTGTGTGTTTGTTTTTCCATCAAGTAGAAAGAAGATAATAATCGATAATGATATTCTTAAAAGAGGAGTTGGGTAAAATAGGAAAAAGAAAGTTTTAATAACCAAAACATTGTAACTTGTGTTTATTTGCAAATGATGAAAACTAGGGCCTTGCTGTGGGTACTCTATGGTTGAAGTGAAAAGTCTTAATCACTTTGCATCTTGAAAGCTTGAAACTTACAAGTGTAATAAAAGCTGTTTAATAGGGCCAGGGATTTAGCTCAGTGATGCCGCCGCCTGCCTTGCAAGCACAAGGTCCTAAGTTCGATCCCCAGGACCAAAAAAAAAAAAGCTGTTTAATAAATGACTCAAGCATCAGTTTTACCTTTTTATTTTTCTGGTGCTGGGGAATGAACCAAGGGCTTCATGCATGGCAGACAAACAACTGAGCAAGCAACTACAACTGAGCTATATCCCCAACCTAGTTTTACCTTCCTGTTGTTTGTTTTTTGTTTCAGATTTTTTTTCAATGTTACTTTATACATTTTTAAAAAGTAAGTCATAGGAAATTATGAAAGAAGCATGATACTCATATATAACTTTTAATTGCCTACATTTACTTATGGATGGATTACTAATAATAAAATAATTGTTACCATTCACATTTATTGACATTTAAGCAGCTTTATCTTTTTTATCATTGACTTCTACGAACACATTTTGCTTAATTTATTTGAAAAACTTTTTTCTCATGAAATCTCTCCCTAAAAGTTACTATATAAGTTGAATCCAAATTTTAAAGAAACCGTAAATTGTAGGGTAAGTAAACGAAATTGCCAAATGGGAGTTAGAAAACTATTGAGAATACATAGGAGTGATAATAAAAGAATCAGGTTGTGCAAGGTCCCAAGTTCGATCCCCGGTACCCAAAAAAAAGAATCAGGTTGCTTTAGAGCTGGAAGGAATTACAAAGATTGTCATTTTAGAAGCAAGGAAATATTTAAACCTGAGAGAGACTAAGTTGCCTGAATTCATAAAGCAAGATACAGCAGAAGGCTTATCTCTGAACTAAAAGCTCATATACCTGTTATGCCAGGTCGATACTCATTTTCTAGTTACATAAAAGTCCCAGATTTTACGTATATCAAACCAGTATATATATGTATGTCTATAAATAGTTATAAATTCATTTTTTTAAAATTTCTAAGATGGAGATGCTTTTAACACATATTAATCAGCTCTGTATATGTAGTATTACCTTTAGAATATTTATAGGGCTAGAATACCTCAACATTCTTAAAATAGCCTCTCACCTTGCTGCTACTGGTTTTTTCACTTACAAATCTGGAAGTGCTAATTTTTTATTAATGTTAGGGATAAGACAGTAGCTATATTTATAGGACTTCATTCTTGGAAGCATCTGTATTTATTTTAAACATAGTGCTCAAAAAAGTACAGTGAAGAGTAGTTTTTATTTTGAGATGCATAAACATAATAAATGTTTATTGCTGTCTTTTTTAGTAGGTGGTGTGCTACAAATACAAGGTTTAAATTAAATGATATGTAGTGAAAAATACCATTCACTAGGTAGGTAAAATGCAAATGAAGAATATTGACTACCAGTTTTTCACTAAGGCAATATAGGAGTTTGTACTTAGTATACACACAGTAGTGACAGGGAAAATGCAAAAGTAGGCATCAAAATAAAGTGTAGTCAGACTCAAAAGCAATATATGCATCGGCATGAGACAGAAATAAATAGAAACACTACATTGGAAATGTGGCCGAAGCTATGGACAAACTCTTGAGACTCCAAGGTCAAAGCAGCCTATTGTTTTTGACATTTCAGCTCTGACCTTATTCCATGTAAGATAAAGGAACAGATCAGCTTACTCTTGAAGACTGGGGTGGAGCCATTCTGCATATAGAGAGAGTCTGAGGGAAAATAGCAGAAAGACAGCAAAACCTGATGACCACAATGGAAACCAGATCATCCATAAGTTCAGTACTTGCATCCTCAGTTTTCTGAATATCCTTTCAAATTAGAGTATTACCCTAGGGTAGAAAGTCCAAAACTGGCAGATCTGATCCTGGATTTGGAACAAGGTAGAATCTGGAAATAGCCACAAAACTGCTAGAGGACACAGGATGGTCGTGGCATGGTCGAGAAAGAGATAGGAGGGGAAGGAATGCCTGAGGTTTTGGGACCTGAGTGATTGCAAGGGTGAAGTTCACAGTAGCTGAGCTAGAGAAGACTGAAGGGTGTGCAGGACTGGGGAGGAGGTTGGCTCTGGTGTGTGCCTGTTGCACATCCAGGTATAGATACTGAGGTGAGAGTCAGTTGTTCAAGCGTGGACTCAGGGAGAAAGGTCTGGGCTGAAGGTAGACACTTGTGGCCATGAAAGACTTAAAGCCATGAGACAGAGAAAACAGTTTGTGTACAGAGTAGTGACATCTAGATAGACTTCTTGGATACGAGAAGGCAGTGGAAGAATGTCTTCAGAGTTCTAAGGAAAACTTAGTCAAACTAGTTTATATTCTTTTAAACTGTCATTCAAGAATGAGGACAAAGTAAAAAATTTTTGATGTACAAAATGTTTATTAGCCACAGACCCTCACTTAAAAGGAAACACTAAGGATATATTTCTGTAAGAAGAAAAACCTAGTGGATGTGTAATGGTGAGTTGAAAACCTTGATATAAAAGTCACTATATTTAAAAAGTTGGTAAATATAGTTATGTATGTGTTTACAGTGCTAAACAGTATTTAGTTGGCTTGGGGCATGTTCGGTGATTGTTAGACTGTTTTAGTCATATTCAAGAGTAAATAAAAGTAAATAAAAATCCTATTTGAAAATTTATTAGCAAATATATTAAAAACTAAGAATGTCATCATCTTTTAAGTAGTCTTGCCAAAGAAATCTAGTCAAACTATAATATAAATTGTTTTTCAGAATAATTGTCATTTGTGATTCTGTATCTTTTATTTACTTAAGATACTATTCTGAGAAGAAGTCTGCAGGCAGCAGTCCGTGACACAGAAAGTTTATTACCCTAAATCTTGCTGTCATCACTCAAGAAATACACAGGACAAAGGAACATGTTAAACCTTGATGACTCAATCAGTAAATTCCTGTAGAGTGGCAAACTACAGGACAAACAGCTCAATTTCTTTAACAAATAAATTAAGAGAGCAGAAACTTGGATATATCACATAATTATAGTATGTGTGATTGAATTCTGATTTTTTTTAACTATTTTAAAAAGAGGGAAGAAACAATTGGGAAGTTGCAGACAGATTAGGTATTTGATGTTATGGAATTAGTAATTGTTATGTATAAAATTAGTACTTCTTATGTATGCAGTTTTGTTTTGTTTTACAAAGGGTCTTTTCTTCCAAAAAGATACTGAAATATTTACTAATGAAAAATTTAACCAAAATAAAATAAGGACAACTATTGCAATTATAAAAATGCAATCTATAGTTTTCAAACCTACAGTTAAATAAATAAAACAGGAGGAAGATTGTAGAAAGTGTTACCAGCACATGGCAGGCAGGAAAAGAGTAAAAAGCCAAATGATGAGCATAAACCCAAAATAAATGGTTGAAATAAATCCATAAAGACTAACAATACCAATAAGTAGAAGCAGGATAAACTCACTAATTAAAACTCAGGTTATAATATGGGTTTCTTTCTCAGTCCAGCTATATGACGCCAGCCTGGGCAATTTAGTGAGACCCTGTCTCAGTAAGTTAAGTAGGTAGCTAGATAGGTAGGTAGTTTCTACTGAGGAGTCACATACTTCTCCACTCATTCTATTGACCAAAGCAAATCACATGGCCAGGCTTGAGGTCAGTAGGACAGGGTAGCATGCATGTAAGAAAATGGCAGGGTATGAGGGAATAATAGCAAACAGATCATAAGATCTGTTCCTTTTAGTAAGAATCCAAAATCTTACCAGCTTAAAACAGTTAGGTCAGGCTAAATGATCATCTTGGGCCATGTCACTCTGATCCATAAGCCAGGCCCCAAACTCAACAGAGCAGCCACTATCAATATACCTTGCCATTCTCAGTAGTGGAGGGAGAAGAATATGGTAAAACATACACTGGTTCTAGAAAAGCTTCCCCACAAAAGGGCCGCGTGGGACTTCTCAAGTTGCATTGGCCAGAGCAAGTTGTATTGCCTAAGCCTGAGTCCAGAACAGTGCTACATAATTGTCTAGAAGGAGGTCAGTATATCAGTCAATCACAATAATGTAATCTACAATAATTATGTCAAGATATTTTATACACATCAGAGGAGTATTCATTTAGAAGCATGACAAAACTAAATGTTGATAAAAATGTTGTGGGAACGTGGATATTGTGATATGCTGGTAGAATTCTAATTGTTATAACCAGTATGAGGAGCAGATTCACAATGTCTAAATAAATTTGAAAACATACATCCTGTATGATCATCTGTTTGTATCCCTGCAAGAACTTCTACACAGGTACACAAAGAGATCGTTTAAGAATATTGTAACATTTTAATAGCAAGAAAAAAGGGAAACAACTTTAATATTTACAGAAAAGCTGGTACATTTTCAGACATACATTAACATGAAAACATTAAATTTCAAATGGTAAATGTCATTATATTGTGTATCTAAAATGTATCAATAAAATTAATAAAAAATAAATAACATAAAAATATTAGAACTGCAATTATGTAGATAAATCTCAGAATAAATTAAAAGTTGAAGAGTAGCACATTCTGTGTACCTTTTATGTGAAATTTTAAAAACTGATTTATAATGAAAGAATATATATTGGAAGATATATATTGATTTATAATGAAAGAATAAAGGAAAAAGGTTATACAGTATATTTTGTAAGAATATATATGAAATGATACATAAATTCAGGATTGTCCTGACTGTGGGAAGGAAGAGGGATTTGGAAGGCAGTGAAGAGGATTTTTAATTCCTTTTTTGTTCTTTTTTAAAAATATCAAGTTAAATGTATGATGAATGTTAATGTATGATAGGTAGGGTGATGGAAGCAGGGATGTTTATGTTACTCCTCTGTGTTTAGAGGGGATAAATGTGTAAGGAATTTGCCTGGAATGCCCAGGTACCGATAGCAGAACCCTGTATAGTCTGAAGGACTGCAGCAGTCTGCTAGGTTGTACGGGCCAAGGAAGTGCAGTTCTAGAGCCATCCTGTGCAGGAAGTCAGTTGTGGGGCTGCTGAATAGGTGGCTATGTTACAAAGGTACTCGCGTGTAAACATTGTAAGTGCTGTGGTCTGTTACATTCCGTGTATGGGCACCTTCTCAGCGAGACTTACGTGTTAACTAAGTTAACTAAGAGCGTTTTCAGAACCCCTGTCTTCTGTGATAGAGGATTCTCTGACTTGTGGAACATTCATTACGTTCTTTGTCTTCAGCGTTCTCTAGACTGAAATAAGAATCCATCCAGTTCTTATTTTTTTCTCAACAGAAGCAATTAGTTGCCCAAAAAATTCACATAGAGGAAAACGAGGACCGAGACACAGGCCTGGAACAGAGACATAATAAAGAAGATCCAGACTGCATCAAGGCCAAGGTGCCCTTAGGGGACCTGGATCTATATGACGGAACATACATAACTTTGGAGAGCAAAGACATTAGGTAAAGAAGTTTTCTTCCACAAGTAAAGTTGTTTTTCCTAACAGATCTTTCTCAAATCAGTAAGAAATTATTTGTATAAGAATCACAGGAAAGTTTATTGAAATTTCAAAGTTCACAATATATGTTACGTATAGAATTCTTATAAATCAACTAAAAATATTTAACACCACAGTAGAAAGTTGAATGATTTATAGTGAAAAGTAAAATATAAGTGGCCAGTAAACATGGCGAAAACATTTCTCAGAAATGTCACGCAAGTACAAATTGAGACAGTTGTTTTCATCTACCACATTGGAAAAAGTATTTGAAAAGTCAGTAACTGTAAAAATGTAAAGAGCCTGTAACTGGAAGCATAAATAGGTTTAACATTTTTAGGAAGAATTTAGCAATGTTATACTATATCCATTTTGAAAACCACAGTCTTAGCATTCTGTGAGCTACTGCTATTTTTTAATTCTTGACTTACTCCTTTAATTTGAATTCCCAAAATACTTTGACTTCTTATGCAGCTATGCGAACAGGTATTGAATGTTGATTAATTTTGGTTATAAAGTTAAGATGCTATGAGAGTATGAGGAAAATTTAACATTTCTTAAAGTACTGATTTTTATATCCTTCATTCATTTCTTGCTTGCTTCTTGATCTTAGCCCTGAAGATTATATAGATGCAGAATCTCCTGTCCCTCCAGACCCTGAGCAACCTGATTGTACTAAAATTCTAGAACTTCCATATAGTATACATGCTTTCCAGCACTTGCGAGTAAGTAGAGAACTTCACAGATTTTTGTTTTGTCTTGCTTTGTTTTGCATTTTTCTTTCCTTTGGTCTCTTGCTTATAAAAACTGTTTTTCTTCTCTCCTTCCAAGCAGCTTTATAATTTGACAAACATTATCCTACTTCATAAAATACTTCCAAAATAAATGCTACAAGATACTTAATTACTTGTGATCTTTTATATCCTATCATCTCCTTTGATCATGTTTTTCAATCTTTTTCTTTTCTAGGGTGTACAAGAGAGAGTTAATCTTTCTGCCCCTCTATTGCCTAAAGAAGATCCAATCTTCACGTATTTATCTAAGCGGTTAGGAAGGAGTATAGATGACATAGGTCACCTCATTCATGAGGGCCTGCAGAAGGTAAGTCATCAGTGACTTAGAGAGCTAGAGACTGTGCAAACAGAAAATGTTTTTCTCCAAAAAATGCCTTCCCATTTGTATTGTTATTATTCCCATTTGGATTGTGTAGAGCATAATCCACAATTATTATATTATATATACTGTAGTTCAGACATGACTAGACTAGTTTCCTTTATGATAAAGTTTTATCAAAATAATTCATCAAAAAAAGAAATAATATGCTAACATATGCAACTGGGTTTATTTATATTGAGTGTGGAAAAAAGTTCTAACAGTGATATATCTGTCCATAATACATAGATTATAACTGTTCTCTGAACCAGAGAAAGAATCACCACCAGCAATAAAATCTTCTATAATTTTTTTTTTTAAGAAAACATCTGTTTTAAAACTCTGAAGTAGGGAACTGGGCATGGTAGCACATAGCTGTAGTCCCAGCTACTGGTGAGACTGAGGCAGGAGGATCACATGAGTCCACCAGTTTGAAACCAGCCTGGACAATGTAGGGAGACTCCCGTCTCGGGAAAAAAAAAAAAGAAAAAAAGTAAAGTAAAAGAAGCAGGAAATTATGTAACAAGACTCAAGAATTTAAATGTATCATTCAGGATAACCTCGGAATTTAAAAAACATTTTTTGCTCTTCTCTATGCATAAGGAGTACCATAAAATGCAGGTTAGTTTCTAAGTAGTATTATAGTGATATTAAGTAAAATGCATACTTAACAGCATTTCCATAGTTTATTCACATACATAGCTCTGTATCAAAGGAATTTTTCGATAAAAGTAAGAAAATAGTTTGATTTTTACATGCATTATATGATTATTTTTGAGATACAGTTATCATCCCTCTGAAGGTAGTGTGAACCATTGGCAGTGGCAGAAACTTACTGAGTAATGAGGAGAGCATAGCGATTCTGTCTTCTCTGAGCACTGTGACCGCCCTGCACCTCCATGTGTTAACCATCCTGGAAGTGTCCGCGCTCTGAACTCAGTCTGTAGCCCTTTCCCCTCTCCGGAGTTTGTGGTGGAACAGAAAATTCAACTCTAAGCGGAGCTTTGTTTTTCTGGGACCAGCACCTGTCCTAAAGCTATCTGGGCTCCCGGCCCCGCCATCTCCTTAGCATACAGAAAACACTCCTATCACTCCTGTATTCCAGTGGTTTTAGGAGCTGTGTGTCAGGAACCCGGGACAAAGACAAATACATAATTTTTCCATACTGTAGACTGAGCAGCCTGAACAACAGAAATATATTTCCTAGAGTTCTGGAGTTTCCAGGATCATCGGGCCCTGTTGGTCTCTGGTGGAGAACCTCTTCCTGGCTTGCAGACAGTTAGTTACCTTCTCATTGTGTCCTCCCTCACACGGTCTGTTCTCTTGTACGTCTGGGAAGGGAGAGACCGGTGGGGTGTGGGGCAGGGTGGTGGGGGGCGGGGGGAGCTTTGCCTCTCCTGTCCTTCTGAGCGTATCTGCCCCACTGCCTCTGACCTCAGTTACCCCTTGTCTCCTCCTCACAGGCCTTATAGAACTTGGGGGACACAGACATTCATTTAATCCATAGCTGGTGTCACCTAACAAAATTCAGGCCAGTGTGGCTGGAATCTGGTGAGCAGGAGGGAGGATGGTAGAGAATAGACCAGGGCCAGATCGTGCGGGCTCTGAAGACCAATTTAAGGGCTTTAGATTTTATTCCAGGTGTGCTTTAAATATATATTTTTCTCTTACCTCCAGATGCTATGCTGTGTCCTCTGCTGTTATGATCTTTTTAAGAGTTTGTGTAGATTTTTTTTTTTTGGTATGGGGATTGAACTCGTGTCCTTGTCCCGACCCTCATGTAGAATTTTTAATTGAACTCTTTGTCCCAATTCACAATGTAAAGTCTGAAAATGAAAGCTAAAAGTAAAAGCATTTGTTGATTTGAGGGGAAAAAAATGTTTTCAATAAAGCTACCGAAAAGAAGACCAAAACCTGTCAGAAGCTGATTATGAAGGAATGTACTGTCCTTTAAGCAACCATAGGGAGAAGAAGTTCACAGTTGATTGTTCATAGTGCTAAAATCTGTAATTGCATCACTGAAAAATCATATACTTTCCTCAAAGATCGAATGCTTAGGGCCGAGGATTTAGCTTAGTGGTTTCGCCGCCTGCTGTGCAAGCATAAGGACCCGAATTCGATCCCCAGTACCAAAAAACAAACTTAAAAACTTGGTTTCTTTCAGGGAGTTGTTGTAAGGGTTAAAGCAAAATCAGAGATGAGTTGCATGGGGCAGGGCATTTAGCTCAGTGGTTCCGCTGCCTGCCTTGAAAGTGCAAGGGCCCGAATTCGATCCCTGGTAC